TCATGAACTCACATGGGGGTAAGCAAGGGGTCTAGTCAACAAATAGGTGGATGCTTYCACTTGTAGTTGGGGCTGAAGACAATGAAATAAAATGAGGAGAGGTAACTGAGATTAGCGTACTTTAGTTCTGGAGCCCTCTAAAAAGTGGTCAAGGATCTTGCCACCAGGGACATTAGAATAGACACTCTCATTGCATATTTTAATCTGTCCTCTCTAGGATTCACAGTAAATCTAAAAGATTTATACAAATGGTGAATGAAATTGTGTGCTTTGCTCAGTTCACTGTAAGTATGAATCCCAGACTTTACCCCTATTCAGCCTTTCTCAGCCACACCAACAAAAAGGACTTTAGTACCTAGGTTAACAAGTGGATATTTCAGACACAGGTTTGTGGTAGTAAACATGTTCCTGACAGCCCAAAGTGGCATTGCCACAACAACCTCTACCTGTAGAAAAGTCGGTATTTGTGTAATTACATGAAAAATTTGCATCTGCTCTTATTATGATTTTTAAGTTGCTGGATATTTAAACATTGAAGTGCTGAAACCACAGTATATTTCACAAACCTAGTACAACTGAGACAAAATGAAAATCCTTCAATAATGAAAGAAACGGTCTTGACTTCCTTGGCTCAGGCTTCCTCACTCAGTTGTGCAGGGAATGGACACTAAGTATAGTTTTCAGACAGTGTCAGAGGATGAGTGCCATCCTGTATCTCATAATATGATTTCAAACTTGTGGAGACTGTGTTCTCCTTAGAACAAGTTAAGTTCTTACATTTTCATACTTCTTTTAAACATATCATTAGGCTTGCACTTTTTATAAAGTCAGGATCATCTAATTTACTGTTCTATAACAGGTAGGGAGCTGGATCAAATTTCATTACATTTAATGCAGGAGTAGTATAAAAAATAGTTACCTTCTCCATACTTACATTTCCTGCTTGTCGTATATAATGATAATATTACTACATATATAATACATATATGACCATAATATCCTCCTGCTTATGATCCATGTATATCTATATTTTTATCTCTATCTTGATATCTATCAAAATTTTTCTACCCTATTGTTTACTTGTAAAAGAAGAACCTCTTTTTCCTGAGTAGGCCTTGGTGAGTTGAATATATTTTGTTCTTTTAAGATAAGAGTAATGCCAAAGACATAATAAGGTGTAGAGTTCAAGCTGCCAGGATCTGAAAGTGGCACCTGCCTTCCAGTGGCATTGTGAACACAGCCAACCTAATTACTCTTTCTAAGTCTTTTTACTCTGCAAAGAGAAATAAGGATAATACTTCTGTAATGTGGTTGTTGTGAGATTAAATGTATGTGTGTTAATGTACTTGGTACAGATCTAGGCACTGAGCAAGCACTGAGCTCATGTTATATAAGGTACAAATAGGACTGGCTGCTGTCCTGGACAGCAAAAGGATGAATCAGCACCCATCTCTACAATGCTAYCCAACCTTTTATTCCTCATTTCATTGGATAGCATTGTAGATATATATATATCTTTCTCTCTCTCTCTCTTTCTCTGTCTGTCTCTCTCTACCTCTGTTGATGTTCCTTTTGCTTGGTTTTACTTTCCACATTCAGCATCCTCAAAGTATGGCTTATTTGCAAAGAAAGTACATATATAGATTTCTCCACCATTTGGCCATGTCTTTCTGTTTTTCTATCAGAAACACACCTTGCAGCCCCTGAGCACTACTGTCTCTCAATCAAAAATCAACGAACATCAACAAAGGATCTACTGGTCTATTAAAAAATAATACTGCAGAGATCCTCATCCTATCATATCTGATTCTAGTTATTAGCTTCATAAATATTTCTTAGGAATAGAGTTTTCAGATTACAGAGGACTGTAGAAGTGAAATTATGTGTTGGTTATAGCCTCCTCTTGGGACCCACAAAAAATTCTTAGGCAAAAATATCAGAATGTGTGTGAGTGTTGAAGTTTACACAAATGGAACCCAGGTGTCTCTATGGTCTGTCTATGTTATRTCATTTCCAGTTACTCAAGCCTTCCACTCCAGATGAGGGCTTTGTGGCTCAGTAAGGGTTCTGGCATTCTGCAGAGTTTTCTGGGTCTCTCTTTTTGTTCCCACATGTTCTCTTTTCTTGTATTTCTGTCCCAGTTGCCCAACAGACCCCATTCTTTCTTCCATTTGTTACCTGGGAACTTAGTTTTTGTAGCATGTGCAGGCTTTTGTGTCACACTCTCCACACTGACAGGATTTTCTGTGTATTTCATCCAAAGGAAAAAGAGTAGTGGAAAGCATGTCTATATATTATTCCTGAGGTAAATGGAAAGTGTTTCAATTTATGGCAGTAGTATACCAAAATAGATGTGCACAAGTCCTGTATTGTGGGAAATAACGGGAGTTGGTGAGATGAAGTGAATGATCTAACCAATTATTCTAGCTTTCTAATTTCCTTTCAACCATTTCTGTGAAACACTCTACATAATACTACAATAAATTGAGATTGCTGCATTAAGTACCTTCAAACTATTTCAGTTTGTTTATGTGGTTTGGTGGTGTTGGTGGTGGTGGTGGTGGTGGTGGTGGTGGTGGTGGGGGTGTGTGTGTGTGTATGTGTGTGTGTGTGTGTGTGTGTGTGTGTGTGTATTTTAGGGATAGTTTGGGGGAAATGAAAAATAAAAGATAAATAAATAATAAATAACAAATGATAAGAAATAATAATCTCAATTATTGACTGTCCAAATGAAAGGTACCAAAGCATGTAGGAAAATTTAAAATTCTAACATTTCATTTGAGGTCATTTTCTCTTCATAAAAATTTACAATTTTAGCAGAATTTTGTTCTCATTTTGCCTTTATAGGCATCTTGTGCAGAAGCTGGGTTGTCAAGCTGCCATAAAACATGCCASAATTTAAAAGTGCAAGGCTGGAACTTCAGTTGGCTGGGAAATAAGATGTTGCAGAAAAATATACCAAAGAGCTATGTGTTTATTTGGGGTTATAGAATGCAGTGCATTCCTTAGTTCCAAGGCAATTGAAGTGTCMTGACATTTGGAGGGGAAAAAAAATCCCTCAATTTTCCCATTGGTATAGGTCATATGGTGTGTATCTGTATGGATATACAAGCTATTTGTATAGAAAAAAGTTCACATTGAAATGTTTGTCAAGGATGTTGGTATTCTTCCTCACTGCTTCTCTTAGCAATTGAAAAGTAAAACTTTCCTAAACCTGCTGCTAAACCCGGTGCTCGTAGAAGCGCATACATTTCCCCATTATTCCCTTAGAACCTGCATTTAGGTTAAATGGTATAAGTCATTCAGAACTGGCATGTGGTGGTGTTTGACAGTGTTTTGGTTAGGGTGTGTGAATAGAAATAATGCTTGCTTACATTGCCCTAGGTATTAGTAGTGTTTTTAAGATTTTTTTTGTGTGTGTGTGTGTGTGTGTGTGAGAGAGAGAGAGAGAGAGAGAGAGAGAGAGAGAGAGAGAGAGAGAGAGAGAATATTCACCATGATAGCTGGCCAGAGAAAGCTAAATACCGGGCTTCAAGTAAGGTGGAATCTGAAGAGCAGCTGGGGGATTCAAGATGACTCTTGATCTGTCAGGAAAAATACCTCTTCCTTCTTATGACCTACTACTGATGGTGCATAGCCAGAACTGCCAGTTGTTCAGTAACTGCATAAGCCTTAGTAATGCTGCTCCCTGGAGATGACTATTGCTGTCTCCTCAACTATGAACTCTGCAATTTCTGTACCACTATTATGGTTTAGCATACTTTGCTCATAAGCCACTAAGTCGTGACTTTGCAGGCTCCCTTCCAATCTTACCTTTGTAGTTTAATTTATTTCCATGAAAGACTTCCCTTTAGCTCTGTTCTGCCTTTTAACGAGGCCACTGGTTATCCGTCCTTGGTTCAGGTCCCACCCCGTCCAGTCAGTTTCTGCAGTGGTGGGGAAGTGTTGAGGTTCTGGAGAAATTTAGTGTAAAATGTGGTGGCTCAAGTGTTGTGTTTTCGCTAGTGTCTTTGAATAGGTTGGTTTCCCTAAGAGGAGGCTGTAGACATGGTAGAGAATGGACTTATTTCTAGGTGTGTTATTTCCCATTGTGCAGTTGGTTTAACCAGAGCCTGGTGGAGGCTTAACTGTCTTGAAACAATGATATAAATTCTTTCTTTGGTTTTAATTGTCACCAAGGAAAGCTAACCCACTGAATTTTCTTTCGTAATCAATAACAGAGAAACCAAATACATGATAAGACAGATGTCAACATGATGAGAAACTCTACTTATTTACAATCCCTCTCAACACACAACTATAATAAAATAAGAAAAAAAAACGCTTTGTTAAAAGTTTCAAAGTACAGTCTATGAACAYGTAACTACTTTAACACTCCACATGGAAAATCAGATAATTAAATCTTAATCAGTGTGTTCCTCACATAAGGTCTCTCAGTACTAGAAAGGTTAGAGAGCTGATAGACCAGGAGACAAAACAAAAATTGAAGGTAAGAACTTCTTTGGAAACCATTCATTATCAAACATCAGCAAGACTCAGTGACTAATTTCAATGGGATTTTAAGTCTCTATTACAATATCTTGTCTATAGTTAATAATGTATATTTGAAAATTACTGAGAGAATAGGTTTTGAGTATCCTCGCCACACAGAAAGATAACTATATGAAGTAATACCTCATTTTAACATTTCACAATGTATACACATCTTAAAACAGTGTTGTGTTAATACGACTATTAATAGATACAATTTTTATTTACTAATTTAAAATATTAAAATAAAATGATGGTTCTGTTGTTTTCCTTGATAAACTGATCTAGTTTATCTCTMTTCAAGAGTTTGTTTTCATTCACATTTCTCTGTAGATAGTGAAAGGTGTTCAGTCATGTGTACCCCGGAGAAGGGGGCCATACATGGGGTCACACATGGTTATCAAGAAGCAGTTTTCCTGCTATATTCCTCAGGCCATCTTTAATATCTCCTCTTGCTCTATGTATTTCAGAATCACCACAACAGCAGCGTGCATGATGGATCTCAGAAGATACCCACTGGATGAGCAGAACTGCACTTTGGAAATTGAAAGCTGTGTGTATCTGTGTCTGGGTTTCTTTTTCTTCCAGTTTGTGTTCTAGATCTCTTTTTCATTATTTAGCCTCTTTTCCAAGGCATTGATAATGTTCCAGGCATACTTTTTAACTACCTTAAAATATATATAGTTCTCCACTCTGCATATTTCACAGTCATAACACAGAGAGACAAACAGACACAGAGARAGATAGAAGAGAGTTAGAGAGGAAAAGACCAATAAAAATAGCAAAATAGAAACAGAAAGAGAGGAAGATGGAGGTGGGGGGAGTGCTTAGTACAGAGAGAGTTCTTTGTTCTAATCTGATTAAGAGACTCTGTTTGCTGTGTTGAAATATAAGAAAACAAATGTTCCTCATCCTGGTCGATTCAGTGAGAAGAGAGCAAACACTGAGATGCAATTTTCTTAAAATATGTTTCATCATGCATGAGTGGCTATACTGCTGCGACCCTGGGCAGTCAGAGTAAAACTCATTTCCCATTAGGATCTGAGCTCTACAAGCAGGCCATTTCTGCATCTTGGCAATTTTCTTCAATTTGAGGAGTATTCAGATGCTTTATTGGTAATTCAGTGCTGAGTACTTCCATGTCAGGGATGAGAGCCGCATCTATAACATTTAACAAGCAGATGTCCCCCTGCTACCTGAACCACACCTCCTGGCATATGGGTATGTTTTTGCTGTTGATCTTGCCCTATCACAGACTGGTTTATTTTTAGTCTCAATTGGATTGAGGGTTGTCAATGCTTATACTGGATTTTGGTGATTAAGTGACTTTGACTTTGCAATGTCGCTTGATGCAAAGGAAATGTCCCTGTACAAGCAGGTGAAGAAATTGTTTGTAGGGGAGGTTAGTGTCCAGGTTCTGGGTAGAGCCAGCCACACTGTGCCCCTTCACTTCCATACTCTGTCACTGTCATGGTTTCTGAAAGCTGTGCTTTCAGAGAAGATGAAAGACATAAAATCATGTCAAGTGATGCATAATTGAATTATCTAGGGACATTTACCATAGAGAACAGAAGGCTCAAGGGAAGGATGATGATTTCCCAACAGTTGAAGGATGAGCCTAGRAAGTTAAATGAATTCTCTGTGGCCAGAGGGCATGACTCCAATGAGACAGTGGAAATTTAAGGAAAGCAAATTTGGGGTCCAAGTAAGGAAGCAGTTTTCATTCCAACTGCCTGAACACACAGTGAGTGGTTTCTGAGAGTATAGGTTCACAGCGCAAAGTGTGACTGTGGGGAACAGTAAGCAGGAAGATCTGCTGTAAAAAAAAAAAAAAATCCCACAGTGTGTAAAGACCCTCCCTTGCTCCTTGCAGAGAAGCCATGGTTAAAGCACTTGAGTGAAAGAGGGATTGTCCCAGTTTTCTGATGGCTCACTATGCATGTCTTGGTACTGGGTATGGAGAAAAAAAAAAAAAAAAAAGATGTGGCTTTTTTTTCCTAACATCAAGGCAAATTCATTGACCATGAATTTATTCAATGAAGCCTTGGAGGACTTAACTCTGTACAAGTACTGTTTTTTTTTCTTTTAATTTTTGTTTTATTTTTTTGGTTTTTGGTACTAGGGATTGAACCCAGGAGCCTATGCATGCTAATTAACCATGTGCCTCCCACCGAGCTACATCCACAGCCCCTATGCAGTCATTATTGTAAGCAAGGGGATATATAGAGAAGGCAGTCTAAATGCAAGTGCCTGTCTTCTTGGAACTTATATTCCAGAAAAGACAGAAATGATTAGACAAAAAGCAAAATGTGGTAGATGTTTTGAAAAAAAATAAAATATGACAGAAGGGTTGTGAGTAATTCTGTGTTTCCTGGGGAAGTGGAATCTCAGGAAGGGATTCTACAGGAAGGCTTGAAGTTAAGACGCAAACATGGGAAGAATGAGCTGTGTGTTTTATTAAAGATTGTCAAGGCTGCCAGGTGAGAATGAGACACAAGGAAGTCAGAGGGAAGGAATTTACAGAGCAAGGACAGCAGATCTGACTTGGGAGATGGCATTAGCTATGGACACAGTCATCCTGTGGCTTTGGTTCATTCATTTGATATCAAATATTGAATGTTTCATTTTTTGGTGTATGTTCAAATACAAAATGTGTAATATTGAAATATTTTTCTTCAGATTTGTATTTTATTTGATCTTATTTAATGAGTTGACCTAATCTTCTAGGAGACAACTGGGTGTTAAAAATAACATTGGACTTTTGTTATTTACTCATTCTCAAAAGCATCAATTAATTACTGAATGAATGTAAGCTCTGGGCCAAGAGCTGAGTTTGGAGTTATAATCCAGCAAATGATCATTACTCTTTCTGATGAGACCACCCATGCAGATCTCAAAGGGCTAGGAGGCTCCCAACAACAGGCATTTCTAAGATTGGCAAACCACGTGGCTAGATAGAGTCAGCAAAATCATCCAAACATTTCACAGAGAACACTACTTTTGCTCCAAGAGTTCATCTAATCAACCACAGATTGGTTAAATTTTCCATAGTCTCTCAACCTTCTATTTTCACTTGAGAGAAGGTATCTCTCCAGGATTTTTCAGACTTGAGTTTTCATCTTTTACTACCATCTTATCTGCTACTSTTAAGAAGGGTTTTAAATTCACTTCTGTACAATACCCACACCAATTCTAAAGTTAGACTTTGCCAAAAGATCATTGTTTAGAGTCCTCAGTCTCCCCAGTTGCTCTACTTTTCAAGATCAGCCTGGTGCAAAGCAAATGGCAGAAGTAACACAAGAGTATTTGAAAGTTAGTTCTTTGGTGACACTTCTTAGAGACAAGCACATTAAAAAAATATTCAAAGATGGCAAAGCCATTACTTCCATTGTATTCAAATTTCTTTAGCTGTACATTTATACAAAATGATATCTCATATGCACCATGTCCTTTCATCTCTCCCCTGATAGATGGCTACACCACGGATGACATTGAATTTTACTGGCGTGGCGGGGACAAGGCTGTCACTGGAGTGGAAAGGATTGAGCTCCCACAGTTCTCCATCGTGGAGCATCGTCTGGTCTCCAGGAATGTTGTCTTTGCCACAGGTGAGCCCTGTGTCTGCTCACAGTCCCTTTGGGACACTGACTGAGTTGCTGTGATAGTCTCCTTATGAGATGTGTGGCCACTGACTAATAATAGCACTTGGCATTCACAGAAATACTATCATCAGTAATTTGCCATCACAACTCCTTGAATCCATATCTAAAGGGGATTGGTAAGCTTTAATGGATAGGAAGGATCACTTATGAGTGAGATGTTCTCTGGGCCTTGCTATTGAACAGTTACAGAAGGGAGGGTAATGTAACCAGCCAAGGTGTGATCAGAAATGCTCATGCTTGGGCAGACAAGAGGGCATTGGTGGAAGGAGGAAAACAAAGACCAGGGAGATGGCTAACTGTCCTCCTAGCAATTAGCCATCTTTTTTCTGACCCAGGYTAATGGTCAGCCTTGGTGGTCCAGGAACTAGGGCCATGTACAGTTAGCCTTGCCTCTTTGGACATGATCTTCTTAGCCTGATATTATCTGGTTAAGGTTGTCCTAGCTGGACACAGTGCCACATGCCTGTAATCCCAGCAGCTTGGGAAGCTAAGACAAGAGGATCACAAGTTCAAAGCCTGCCTCAGCAAGGGAGAGGCACTAAATAACTCAGTGAGACCTTGTGTCTAAATAAAATTCAAAACAGGGCTGGGGATGTGGCTCAGTGGTTGAGTGTCCCTGAATTCAATCCTCAGTACTAAAAAATAATTAATTAATTAATTAATTAATTAAAATAAAAGATTTCCCTAGCTTATAATTCATTGTTGTTTTCTTTTCAGCTATCCAAAGATTGAGACATTGTCTTCCGATTTTCTCTCTGTTCTTGATAATGTTTTATTAAATTGTAACCATGTATCTTTTACAATGTGCAGTGCTTTTTTTGCGGGAGTAGGTTTATATTCTTACTGAATGCTGTGCATAGTAATTGAAAGAATAAATGAAAGTGCTTTGCAAACTATAAGGTATTTCCAGGTCTACGAACTCTGGGCTGAAAATACTAAGTGAAGGCAAAGCTGTCCATCAAACAATAACAAGTGGGTRGAAATACCAGTCCTATGATGGTACTCATGAAGCCAGGTGGTCTTCTACTTCTGCCCATTGCCTGTGGGTTGAATGCTCCTGACCCATAGCCACCTGCTGCCCCTTTGCCTACCTAAGACTGATTCATCTCATCTTAATGCCACTATTGGGAGGAAGCMTTTTTGACCTGCTCCAGTCCCAAGAACTCCCCAGTTTGGGTTAGGTGTTGCTCTGTATCTCCAGAGTGCAACACCAACCCCATTCATCTCTGTGCACAGTTCACTATACCTGTGACTGCAAGGGTGCATCTCTCCTAGGAGGAACCTGTCTTGGTCATAGTTTACTTCTTTCTTGCCCCCAACTTACTTAAAGCTGGACATTATAGCGATAGTCATTGAGTTAGCAAACAAGGGTCAAAATTATCATCCATATCCCTCCTTTCCACTCCTGCCTCTTAGAGCCAATAGACATGATAAGATGAGAGAAAAGCTTGGGTTTTTAAGAAACCAACCGTGTCAGTAATCATGTCTGTTTTTCATGAAGGGTTGCTTTATCCTATGTCAAAAGAACTCTTGCAAATATCCTTGCAGCCTCTATAGGGGACCCTAAGGTGCTCACCTTGGGTGGGTGTTGAGAGCCAGCAGGAAACTCAGGCTTAACATTAAGGAACTGAGTCCACAGTCAAGAAAATTGCTCTATTGATGTATTAAATAAAATCATTTCTTCTAAAACTGGAATTTAAGCTGTTCCATGTGCCCAGAATTATGAGTAAAAGTTCTGCTCAGAATACAGGTTAGTATTCTGACAGAGGGATAAACCTGGCCATGCCTGGTTTGTCTAGAAAATTGTAGTTGTGGCCATGAGGGTGCTACCACTAGTGATCACTGACTGCATTTTCCTGCAGCCTCATCAGAAAACCTGATGAGGTGTTCATGGAGGATACATAGCTTCCACAGGACACTGCAGTCCCTTGCAATGACCTTCTTGAATCCAAGTGCAAAACTACTTGGGTCCTCTCTTGTAGGTATAGTCTCTGTCGTCTGTTGAAGCATATATGTACCACACATCCTAAACATGTCTGGAGAAAATATACACTACACATTAGGGAGAATATATAAACTATTTGTAAATCCAGGAGGTGATCAGAATGCAACATTATGTCTTTTTTTCCAACACATTCTGAAGTCCTGTGTTTGCCATAGGTAGCACAGGGTTCCTTATGAATCATTTAGAAAACTGGATCTTCCAAAAGCTTATGCTTTAAAATTGTTCTACTTTTCCCATACATGAAGAAATGGCATGAGCCTCATTGTCCTAAAATATTTTAAAATTAAGTATTATCCTAGTTTATTTTCTTTTCCACAAGTGTTCTGAATTAATGAGATTTAGATCAGCAAATGGGATTGAAGGGGTTGCTAGCCTGGGAAAGAATTAGGAGAAAAGAAAGGCTCTGGGAGTTTACTGGACCAGGAAGGATGGACAGTAAAGATTTTACATGACTYCATCTACTTCTGCTTTCATCATGATGTGAACACATGGCAGCTACACCCAAATTCCACAGGATGGTCGGCAGAGGCTTCAGAGCTGAGAGAAGCAAGGGAAGCAATGGGTTTGCAAAATTTCTGGGAATGCTTCTTCTCAGAGTCATTCAAGGAAGATTTGGTGCTTCACCCACCTTACTCATGTGTTGTTCCTTTGAGGACTTTGTAGGGGTCCCTTGCTGTGCTTTTCTGTGGGCACCACCTCTGATCCACTTTTTGGATAATATGGGGTTGCAGGCTATAAGACAGAGGACACACATATAGGTGAGCCATGACTATTCACTCAGGAACTGGCATGAACTAGTGTGGGATCAGGCCTTGAGAACAAAGAGGAGAACAGGTGTGTCTTGTCCCATGGGTTTTCTCCCTGGACCTTCATAGGTTCAGAAGATGACTTCTTGTCCTGTCTTACACAAATAGGTGGTTGGCAGGAATTAAGTCACAGTGGGAGAAATCACTGAAGTATGTTCAAGAGACGATATGTAGACTTTAAAAACTTAGACCTTGAAGCCAAACTGTTAGAGCGTAAGTTTAGCAGTGTGATCCACAGCAGGCTTATTCAATTTGTCTGTAAATAAGGATAGTAATATTGTCCATTGGATAGGATTTTTGAGAGGATTATGTGAGTTAGTGTAAATAYAGGATCTAGAACAGCACCCGGCCCATACTAAGCTTTATAAACTATTGTGATTTTAAAAGTGCAAGACCATGAATGAGGTACATTTTGAGGAGTCTGAGAACAGATTACCCCAGGAGTTTACTAGAACTTTGTATATGAGGAAATTATGACATTATTCTCTGGAATTATTGGACATCAGGTGACTGACACCTAATTGCTTGAGGAAGATTTAAAAAATGGGGTCAAGATGACAGCTACCATATTGGACACGCAGTTTCCCAGCCTCACAGCCTTCAGAATTCAAGTTCCCCTCCAAACTCCTTGCACCAAAGCCTCCTGTCCCCGTCCTCTGATAAAGGTTCATTGCCTCCAGGTTCTCATTTTCTCTAATGAGAATGAGCTCTGGAAATACCTGAACTCAGAAGAGTACCAGAAGCCCTGTAGTTCTCCTCTTGTCCCTGCCACAACCAGGGTGTGTACCCCACAATGAACTTGATAGACCGGTATTCATTAAGAATAAAAATGCTGTTAATCCTTACTCCCTYTGCTGGGGTCATGAGTTGCAGGTCGACTTTAGGAACCTAAAGCTCTTGAAGTGATTTGTCTGCGCCCATGTGGGAATCCTCTTCCGTGCTCCACATACAAGGAGTCTGTGCGAAGCAGCACGGGAAGTGGATCCAAGACATCCTGGAAGCCAGAGGTCATGGTCTCTTCAGTTACCACATTCCCTGGGTGGAATGACAGGACCTTGACTTCAGTACCTCTCTTAGATCTGTGACTGCTACACCTCCCGCCCCTACCCTAATTTCAGGTGGCCCTTGATACCCATGGTATAGCTGGAAACAGCCACAAGAAAGACAAGCGGTGGGGACTCTATCAGGGCAATCTCCTAGAAGAAAGCAGCCCCCACCCGAGTCAATGCCAAGGTGCCCCTTGCACCATCTGCTGAAGCCTCTTCCACTGAGCAGACCAGCCCCCAGCCCCATCACCAAGGCTCCATAATTGGGGAGGGAGCCTGAAGGATTAGGAGACAGTGCCTAATTATGTGGTGGGAAGTTACCTTATTCGGTGACCAATGGCACACCCAGGAGTTGTTGAAGGGGATAAATGCATCTGAGGTTGAGGAAGGGCAGCAGAATGTGTATGGGAAGCTTCAACTCCTATATGCTATAAGTAGGTGGGCTCAACTGTTGTGTTGTTTCAAACTTCTGTCAACTCAGCTTTTCCACAATTAAGCTGTATCTCCATCTCTGCAGAAAATAAAATATCAAAAATTGTTTGGAATTCGTATTTATATCCTTAATATTTATCCGAGTACATAGTCCATTCAATAAACAGATAAATTAAATGAATAGTCACTGAATCAAGAGAAGAATTATAAATATTAATACTAAGTAAGTATTCAATCAAATAATTTCTTCAAAAGAGATAATATATAAATAAATGACATTATAAACACAAATACTTAACTTACTCAAATATTATACATTAAAGAAAAAGTCATATAAAGCTACCCTGGGTAGAAAACATACCTTTGCTCAGGAAGACAGAGCTGAGTTCTATAATTGTGTTTTAAAGAAGTGAAAGAATTAGTTGTGTTAATTAATATAAAAGGAAATTATTTTGGTCCTTAAAAATGATTCATTACATGTGTTTTGTAAAAAGTGTTGGCACTCATTTAGAATTCCAAAGAAAACAAAAAAATACTGCCTTACTTCTAACTTCTGACTAAAATGATGGCATGGTATTGTAATTTTATAGCCATTTGTTTACTAATGTCCTTGAGAAGCTGGTAGTTGAAAAATACATCAGCTTAAAGCAGAAGAAA